TTGCTGGGTCGTAGGGTAGTTCTATTTTTAGTTTTTTGAGGAACCTCCAAACTGTTTTCCAGAGTGGCTGCACCAGCATGCATTCCCATTTTTGTTATTTATTTTTGAATGCCGCCCTAGAACTCCCTTCATTTATTAAAAGCCCTTCTGTTATTAAATGTCAGGTATTAAATTTTGGATTTGCCCTCAACATTTTGTTTCATTTCATTTTATATAGTCATTCAGCATCGCAAATATTAAATCATGATCTTCAGAAGCTGGGGTTTGCATCATCATAATTTTCCCCTAAGATTTCAAATATCTGAGCAATCAGATGCTGAATAATTTTTATTTTAGTAAACACTGCATTTATATACTTAAATACTCATTGTGGTAGTAACATTGGCTCCGTCACCCGAAAACCTAATGTAAACTTGATCAGCCCTAAAGTAAAGCATAATATAAAAAAAAAAAGAAAGAATTCTTATCTACAGCATGGAATATTCTACTTCAGACCACTGTAGGATAGCTACAAGGTAAGAGATTATTTTGATAATTGGTAAGCTGCATATTATGACTCGAGTCATCAGTTTCATTCTTTTGTTTGTGTGTCTACACACACACACACATACTCATTGAATTTACGGATGGATCAAAGTCATGTACATACAGAATAGCAACTATTTTGTCCCCTTTTTTTTTTTTAAGTTTATTTATTTATTTTTTGAGAGTGCACAGGGGAGTGAGATTGAGAGGAGAGACTCCACATTGTCAGAGCAGAGCCCGATGCAGGGCTCAGACTCACGAACCATGAGATCATGACTTGAGCTGAAATCAGCAATCAGGCACTTGACTGACTGAGCCACCCAGATGCCCCTTATTTGTCCCTTTTCTGTTGGACTTGTAGCCTCTGGTCCTTACAAGCCCTGTAAATTGGCATATTTCTCTTTGCTCTGAGTTTTCTTGCATCCCATGAAGTAGCTAAATTGGCAACGGTCACTCCTGCCACTTCCCGCATGGCTACCTGCCTTGAAACACTCCTTCTAGCGGCTTCGTTCTTAGGTCACGCGGCCTCGGGAGTACTGCTCACGGCTCAGGAGTACTGCTCATGGCTCGCAGAGCCCTGGTGCACCCCTGCAGCCCTCCTCCTCCTCAGCACACGCACCAAAGGCCCTTGATGACATTTGGTCTGCACTGAGTGCTAATGGTTTTGCAGGACCCCTGTCTAAACGTGCTGTCTTTGGGAAAATAGTCCCATTGTCTTTCAGCTTTTTTTTTTTTTTTTGCTTTATTCTCTAACTGTATTTTGAAAAAATTGGATGATCGGTAGCCTGTATTCACAGTTCCCCCAGTTGTATAGTAGTGTCCTGTTTTTAGTGTATGGAGGGGGAGCCGGGCACCCCTGGTGAAGGTCACAATGTGCGTTGTGGTTACTGTGGCCTCATCAGTCTCAAGTGTAGATCAAATCTCCCACATTTTGTTTTTCTTTCAGGACATTGATATTTTTGAAGAGTCCAGGCCAGTTCCGCAGAATGTTTCTAAATTTGGAATTATCTGATTATCTCATGTGTGCTTTTTCATTTCATTGTCTGTAAACTTATCACAGCATTTGTTTTTGAGACCCTGCCCACAAACAGATTTGTTGAAAACGTGGAACTGTTTTTCGGTTTTTGAAATCTTTTTAGGCAGAAGAATATTTTCATTGGAATAAATTACCCTGTGGAAATATTTCCAAAAATACAATTCCACTCCACACAATCAGCATTAAGCCATCCACTATGTGGTTTGGAGAAAGGACCAGAAAAACAAATGTAATTGTGAGGTAAGAAAGCAGCAATGTCATAGGTCTTTTGAGAGAAACCTTGCTTTTGAGGCAAATTATGTGCTTTATTTTAGTTTAAATGCAAAACTAGCCTAACCCAAAGAGGGGGATGTATTATAATTGTGGAAAATGACTTCTGAAATTTAAACGCTAAAGAGGTTCTGCTTCCAAAACCTGTCTCCTGTCTAAATTTCCTGAGGTCTGCTCCAGCGGGTGGCTCGAGAGTGAGGGCGTCTTGTTTGGCCTCACTTGGGAGTGAGTTGACCTTGTGGGGAACCAGAAGCCCTTGGTGGAGCTGAGGGGCATAATGATCAGCATATTGTAGCAACACTTCCTTAATACTGGGTATTCACAATGTCCACAAATCTTTATGTTTCTGGAAAGAGGTCCCTCTTGTCCCAGGGAGAAACCCTTGATTATAGGGTGATTTCATACCGGAATAGCGGAAGATGGGAAGGCATGAAATTTAAAACGTAGCTTAGTTTTGATAAAAGACCTCTAAATTTTGTGTTTTCCTTTCCTTTTAGGACTGGAGAGAGTTCATACAGAGCTTGTTTTTCTTTTCACTCTTCCTACAGTGAGGTAAGAGGATCCCACATCCTCAGAACCCCATTGCCAACTACTTCGGTGGCATTCATGTTGGATGGCAGCAGTCTAACCCCTTGGCTGCCAGAGGGATCTCTTTTTCTGTTGCTTAAGATTTGTTGTGGCTTTTCTGAAGGAAATTTAGGGAAGATATCTCAGTAGATGAGCTGTGTTTACCAAGCACAAAGGAAATTGCTATTAGCACCTGTTTTCAGCCTAAACACAGAAGAATTCGTATGATTAAGGTTTTCTTCCTGTCTTGCTTCCTGCATGTATTTTAACTTCCCCACTTCAATTGTTGTTTTCAGTCGTCATGAGAGGATCATAAATCCTTTTTAATTTAAAAATTTTATTGTTATTTTTTTAAGAGGATCTATAAAGCTTATCCGAAGGAGCACTATAGATAAAACCATTATGGGTGGCCTTAAGGTGCTGTCCAGAGTTTTGGTCTCTTCTAAAATTTGCGCTGGAAAGCTATTTAAAAAATAGTCCTGAACATTCATCAATTGGGGAAGAATCAAAGTGACTGAGATAAAAACCTCGTCCTTAAGAAGGATGTATACTGTATTAGAATGACTCAGTTGAAGAAGGCCTATTAAATGGTTTTGTTAGGATCCTCTTTATATAGGAAATTGACCTACTACAGTGGAAGTTGATACGTGTGATTTATTTGCAAACTCCTCACGCACTTCCAAAGTAAATGCTAGCATCTTCTAAGTGCTGAGTTTTAGTAATTTTGTGTATGTGCCAGGAAAAAAAAGGTATATAAAAGCAGACTTTGAATGACACTTTAAGTCACACATAATTTTAGTTTGACCATTGCAGCACTTAAAAATTGATTTCCCTGGGGGCTCCTCGGTGGCTCAGTTGGTTAAGCTCCGACTTTGGCTCGAGTCATGATTTCACGGTTTGTGGGTTCGAGCCCTGCGTCAGGCTCTGTGCTGACAGCTCAGAGCCTGGAGCCTGCTTCGGATTCTGTGTCTCCTTCTCTCTCTGCCCCTCCCCAACTTGTGCTCTGTCTCTCTCTGTCTCTCAAAAAATAAATAAATGTAAAAAAGAAATAAAAAAAAAGTTGATTTCCCTGGTAACTATTACTTTTGTATTTGGGATATGTGGTTACAGCACTGCAGCAGTGAGCCATGGATGTGTTAATGATTTGAACAGGTGGATTCTTCCAGAGCTCCAGGTAGTGGCATTCTTATCAAGTCAGCCATAGTACTGTAAATGACTAGCATATTATCAAAACATCACAGGGGCGTCTATGAAATATCTGACCTTACCTTTCAGGTGCAAATAGGTTATCCAAGAGCAGCTTGGAAGGAATTCACTGTGATGATAGATTTTAGTTAATGTGTTCTTCCCCCATTTTATCCTGAAATCTCATGTTGTTGTCAGAGTCCCCTCCTGGGGATCTGTCTTTGGTTGGCATCGGGCTCAGCATCGGGGTCCCTTCCTGTCCATCCTTCAATGGCTGGTATCCTTGCTGTCTCAGCCACGGGGCAGGTGTCTCGTTGGTGAAGAGCGTAGGCCTTACTTCTCACTCAGGGCTACATCTGGCCCCTTTCACTCCTTTGGTGTAGTTAGCACCCAAGTTGGGAAGCATAAGCTTTCCTGGGATTTGATGCAATTACGTTCCAATAAGGAGATATTTCCCTGGTGTGTAAGCAGACACGAAGTGGCTGAACGCCCTTGCCCCTCCCACTCCCCCTGGGTCAGCACCAGTGATCACACACAGCGGAGGGTCGCTTTGAGCTCTGCGGTGGGGAGACCTGCTTTCCCGAAAACTCTCTTCATAAGCCTATATCCTAAGTATAGATCATGCTGAATTAGATTTATAAACATAAATAGATTTAAGGATCATTTCCTGTCAGTTTTGTTGTCTAAATACAGCTGATTCTCCTTATTTGTGGATTATTTCCAGGTTCACCTGTTCACTAAAATTTGTGACCCCAAAATAATAGTCACAGCACTGCATGGCTGTTTGCAGACATGCCTAGCAGAATGTTGGGAAAGGGGTTAACGACATGCATATTCCCAATTTCGGAATTGGGTGGTACTTACCCTCTCCGCTCAGCTCAGGGCTAACTGAGCTTTTTGCAGTCGGTTTAGCGCTGTGTTGAACACACTTCTGTGCTTTCTGCTGGGGACTTCCTGTTTAGAACAGCCCCTAAGTGCGAGGCTGGGGTGCTGTGTAGCGTTCCTAAGCATGCACAGAGGTAAGGGTGGGCCTTATGGAGAAAATACGTGTGTTTGATAAGCTTTTACAGACAGGAGTTATGGTGCTGTTGGGTATGAGTTCAATAGTAATGAATCAACAGTACGAATTAAGTAGGTGTCTTTAAACAGAAACCCACAGAAAACAAGGTGATGCACTGATGGGCTCACAGAGACACTGTGACCAGAGGTCCACTGGAACCTTTTCTTTTCCTCAGGAGTGTGGTTCAGTGTTTGCTAATTCTAATGTTTTTTAAGTTTATTTATTTTGAGAGAGAAAGGGGGGAGGGAGAGAGAGAGAGAGGCAGAGAGACAGGGTAAGAATCCCAAGCAGGCTCTGCACTGTCAGCACAGAGCCCAATGTGGGGCTCAAACCCATGAACTGGGAGATCGTGACCTGAGTGGAAGTTGGATGCTTAACCAATTGAGCCACCCAGGTGCCCCTAGTGTTTGCTAATTCTAGACCTCGAGAACATAACCCCTGCAGGTAATGAGAATGGACTGTGTTTGTGAATGGTTTTAAGGCAGGCATCTGATGTGACGACATCAGCTTGTACAGGTGACAAACGGTGGCTCTCTAGTGGGTGTCTCTCGTCTCCCGTGTCCACTTCATTTCTAAGTAGAAGCGAATCATTTCTGGTATAGGTTGACATTACTTTCTTTATCCCTGTTGCCTTGACAAGCCTCAGATTTCTGCTAGCCTCAGCTTTGAATTAATTATACAAATCGTAAAAGTTGTGGGCCGGTAAATAATAGTTTCTGTTTGCATGCCTGCTCTGAAAGTGCAGGAGAATTTGCTTATGAAATCTATCTGAAGAATGAATGGGTCTTGTTTTCCTCTCCTGTTTTCAGTAAGGTAGCCACTTTATTTTAATACGGAGTTATTGATAATTCCTAGATTCCTACCTCTTTTGATTTGGTTCTTTATTTGAAAAAGTTGTTGTGGGGTGCCTGAGTGGCTCAGTCAGCTAAGTGTCTGACTTCAGCTTAGGTCACGATCTCACGGTTATGGGTATGTGCTGACAGCTCAGAGCCTGACGCGGGGCTCATACCCACAGACTGCGAGATCACGACCTGAGCTGAAGTCGGACACTCAACTGACTGACCCACCCAAGCGCCCCTGTAATGGATAATTTCATTGAATGTTAAATATATGCCAGCTTGGTAACAGGCCAAGCACTTGACATGCGTTATCTCATTTATACTTCTAGATGAAGACCCTAACACTTAGAGACTTTCGGTAACTTAACCAAGATCACAAGGTCACCAAGATCTAATAAATGACAAAGCTGAAACTTGTCTGGGTTATAGAGTTGTTTTGAGGAATAGCGGCAGAGTTTCTCTGTCGAGCCTTCTGAGCTTTGCAGAAAATCAAGTTATTCATGAAATTTCTGCATGTAGTTGTCCTCTAGAGAAAAACATTACAACAAATCAAGCATCCTGGAAGATGTAATTTTCTTATTTTATTTGTTGGAGAAAAGAAATGTAATTCGAAGAGCTTGCTTTTTTGTGTGTACTAAATATTCCACTTAATTCTAATTTACTTGAAGGGAATTTGTTAATTATGGGTGACTTTCTTAGACAAGGAAACTAATGCACTTTAAAGAAATAGAGAATCTTTGAGTTCCATTAGTCAGTGATTCTTAGTCCTTTCTGTGGAACAGAATCACCTGAAGAACATTTCAATATCCTGAATCCTAGGCCCCACTGTAGCTGAGTATCAAAAGGACTTTTGGGCATGGGGTCTCAGCGTTGGAGATTTCTTTCTCCTCTAATAGAGGCCCCCAGGTGATCCCCATGTGCAGCTAGTAGTGAGAACCACACCATGAGAAAGTTCTGCTCTTTCTCCTGGCCACCCTTTTGTTTCCGTCCATAATACCCACATTTTTCACCGCAGAGATAATCGATCCATTTTATTTTCCTTCTTCTAGGTTAAGGATTTCTTGAGCTACATCTGTCCTGTGAATGTGTATCCCAACGTCATTCCAATAGGCACAACTATGGATAAAGTTGTAGAAATGTGAGTAATTGCTACTTGTGGAATTTGTGTCGTTGAACACGATGGATGCAGAGGATAGTTTCGGGTCTGAGAACAGGGGCCAGGACATAAGATGGCTGTAAATACGTGTCTGGTTGGGAGCATGATGGCTTTCTTCCAGTGGGTATGTTATAGATAATCCTAAAGGCTGCTGGGAGTCTGGCATAAGGGCACAGTTGGCATTGAGGCCCTCAAGAGAAAGGACAGGCTGTATTTACACACTCTTGTATTTTATCATCACTGTGCCTTAGCTTCCAAACTCTAGAGTGAAGAGATCAAATTTGAGATTTTGTAACAGATAAGTCAACCCCATTAAACAGGTGAGAGTAATCAGCTAGCCATACTGTAGTCCCTGAATGCCAGGTGTCACTGTAGTACTTAATAGTCTTGCAGAATAGGGAACTGCTTTTCTGTAAAGCAAGAGCAAATACATGGGTTTTGCTTTCCCTTAATCCTACAATTAGATAGCTGTGTACCAGGTTGTATTTAAGTGCTCATATTTACCACTTAATTATAGTGAAGTGGTTTTTTAATTATTAAACATGGCTCTTTGGTTTTTAAAAGTAGTTACATGATTTTTCCCATGGCCAAGTTTTTATAATCTCTATAAAGTATGCTTACATTCCAGTAGCTTTCCCAACAGGAAAAATATAATGTTCATATTTGTTTCAGCTTAAAGCCTTTATGCCGATCTTCCCAAAGTACTGAGCCAAAGTATAAACCACTTGGAAAATTGAAGAGAGCTAGAAAAACTCACCTAGACTCAGGTAAGAAAATGACCCTGGATTCAGAGGTGTGGGTTTCAAGGCTACTCTGGCCTGGTGAAAGCTGCATTGGGCAGGGGTGGGCCGGGGACTGCTGTCACTCAGACTTGTTCCCATGGTCTCAGGAAGTGCTTTGTCTTTCTCCAGCCTGTGAAATCAGCAGTCCAATCTCCTTCACAGGTTTAAAACGGGTGACAGAGAGAACTGTGCCTGTACTGAATGGTGTTCTCAGCTTTCTGAAAGTAGGCCTTGTGGTTTGTATAGGCCATAAGGACAGGCTGGGCTGTTAATCTTGGAGATTTCCTTCAAGATACTAGTAAATGCTGACAGCGGAAACTTTTGCCATTTCCAACCAGATTGACCAGCAGAGCTTATACGAACAGATTTTCTGTACTTTGTCACCTTCTTCCATTGCTACTTTCATTTTCCAGGGAAGAGCAGAGGTAACCTCTGAGGAATTTAGAACTTGAGATTCCAAATAAAGATCTGCTGCTTTACAGCAGCCAGATTTTGTGGTTAGGATTCTGAATTTGCATTGCTTTGGCGGAAAGTCACTTACTGTACCATGTAGCTAATACATGACCAAACAGATTAGGTAACAGGATTGTATTTATTAAACAACTACTGTCTATGGCAGGTATTGTGCTAGGTCCTTTACATACACTACAGCTAAACTTCAGCCCACCCAAGGGGTATCATCCCACTTTTTACTAACAAGGAAACCAAAGTTTAGAGGTGAAGGAAGTACCCCCAAGGCCTAGCCAGAAGTAAGTGATGGGGCTGGGATTCGAATCCAGTCCTGTGTTTCCCATCTCCATTTCAGCATTTCCTCTCATTTAGAATCAAATCGAAAACATTTAGATGCAAATTCCAGTACTGATTCTAGAAAACCAGTTGTATTTTTAGATGTTGTATCTATCATGTATGGCATCGTATAATCCTTCTCATATGTAAACTTAATTGTAGGGTTTTTTTAAAGCTTTACTAAAGTATAATTGATATACTATAAATTGCATGTTTAAGGTGTCCAATTTGATACTTTTACATATGCATATATGAGAAGCCATCACCATAATTAAGATCAGGAAAATAGCCATTACCCCCAGGTTTCCTTATGGCACTTGGTAATTCCTCCCAGCTGTCCCCCACCCCCTGCTGTCCTCTTCCATGCCAAGGCAACCACCGATCTGCTATCTATCACTGTACATTAGTTAGCATTTTCTAGAATTTTATACATACAATATGTCTGGCTCATTTCCCTTAGCACATTTTGAAATTTATTGGTATTGTTGGATGTATCAGTAGTTTCTTTTTTACTGATGGGTAGTATTCCACTGTGTGGATATACCAGTTTGCTGATCCATTCACCTCTTGTACATTCGGGTTGTTCGCAGTTTTTGGTCATTACAAATAAAACTATGAACATTCAAGTACAAATCTTTGTATGGATGTATGCTTTCATACCTAGGAGTGGGTCATACGGTAGTTGTATCCTTAAGAAACTGCCAAATTGTTTTCCATAGTGGTTGGACCATTTTCCATTCTTGCCAGTTCTCTTGTTCTACTTTGTTGCCAGTATTTGGTGTGGGTAGACTTTCTAATTTTAGATATCCTAATGTGTGTGCAGTGATATCTCATGGTTTTAATTTGTATTTTTCTTTTTTTTTTTTTTTAATTTTTTTTTTCAACGTTTATTTATTTTTGGGACAGAGAGAGACAGAGCATGAACGGGGGAGGGGCAGAGAGAGAGGGAGACACAGAATCGGAAACAGGCTCCAGGCTCTGAGCCATCAGCCCAGAGCCTCACGCGGGGCTCGAACTCACGGACCGCGAGATCGTGACCTGGCTGAAGTCGGACACTTAACCAACTGCGCCACCCAGGCGCCCCTTAATTTGTATTTTTCTAATGTCTAGTGAGGTTGAACATCTTTAATGTTCTTATCTGCCATCCGTGTACTTTCACTGGTGAAGCATCTGTTTAAATTTTTATCCATTTTTTTTAATTTGTTGCTTTTTTATGGTTGGGTTTTGAGAGTTTCTGGATGTAAATGCTTTATCAGACTCTTAGCAGAGTCTTTTGAAGAGCAGAAATTTTAAATGGTGTTCAATTTACTAATGTTTACCTTTTTTTTTTGTATTGTAGCTAACTAAGAACTCTTTGACTCATGGTCACAAAGATGATTTTCTCCTCTATTATCTGGTAGAGGTTTTTGTAGTTTTAGGTTTTACATTTAGGTCTGTGGTCCATTTTCTAGTTATTTTTACGTATACGGTGCTAAGTACATATTCAAGGTTTTTTGGTATTTGTTTTTTTCCTACAGACATTCCAGACATTCTAGAACCACTTGTTGAAAAGACTTAATCTTTACTGAATTGTCTTTGCCCTTTTCTTGAAAGTCAATTGACAATATATTTTTAATTTTTTTTAAATGTTTTTATTTTTGAAAGAGAGAAAGAGAGACAGTGTGAGTGGGGGAGGGGCAGAGAGAGAGAGACACAGAATCCCAAGCAGGCTCCAGCCTCTGAGCTGTCAGCACAAAGCCTGACGCTGGGCTCAAACTCACTGACCGTGAGATCATGACTTGAGCTGAAGTCGGACACTCAACTGACTGATCCACCCAGGTGCCCCAATTGACAATATATTGAGGGTTTACTTCTGGACTTTTTGTTTCGTTCCATGATTTCTATCTTGACATCAGTACTGCCCTGTCTTGATTATTGTACCTTTATAAATTCTGAAGTTAAGTGATACAAGTGGTTGAACTATTTTGTTAGTTTTCAAAGTTGTTTTGGCTATTCCATGTCCTTCACATTTCCATATGAATTTTAGAGTCTGCTTGCTATTTGTATAAAAATGTCCACTAGACAGAGTTTGGGATTGTATTAAATTTGGGAAGAAATGACAGCAACATTGAGTCTTCAGATCCATGAAGATGGTATCTCTCTCCATTTATGTAAGTCTTTGATTTTGCTCAGCATTATTTTCTGGTTTTCAGTGTATAGGTCTTATATGTCTTTTGTTAGATTAATCCCCAGATATTTCATTGTTTGGATACTATTGTACATTATATTCCTTTTCACATTTCAATTTGTTACTGGTATATAGAAATACAATTGATATTTGTATTTTGATCTTGTATCTTCCAACCTTGCTAACCTCACTTACTAGTTCTAGTGATTTTTGGGGTAGATTCTACTTCATTTCTACATAGATTATCATAGTGTGTCTGAATATAGATAATTTTACAGTCTGGATGCTTTTATTTCTTATTCTGATCGAACTAGCTAGACTTCAACTATAATATTTAATAGAAGTGGCAAAGGTTGATGTCACTGCCTAGTTCCCAATCTTGTGGGGACTGGGGGAGAGGGAAGCATTCATTTTTTCACCCTTAAGTATGATGTTGTGAACTTTTCATTGATGTTTCTTATCACATGGAGGAAGTCCATTCTATCAGTAGTATTCAGAGACTTTTTTTTTTTTTTTAATTTTTTTTTTTCAACGTTTATTTATTTTTGCGACAGAGAGAGACAGAGCATGAACGGGGGAGGGGCAGAGAGAGAGGGAGACACAGAATCGGAAACAGGCTCCAGGCTCCGAGCCATCAGCCCAGAGCCTGACGCGGGGCTCGAACTCACGGACCGCGAGATCGTGACCTGGCTGAAGTCGGACGCTTAACCGACTGCGCCACCCAGGCGCCCCCAGAGACTTTTTTTTAATCAGGAACGGATATTGGATTTTGTCAAATATTTTTCCTGCATTTATTGAGATGATCATACAGTTTTTCTATTTTAGTCTGTTAATATGGTGAATTACAATGATTGATTTTTAAGTATTAAACCAACCTAGCATTTCTGGAGCAAACCCCATTTGGTTGTGATGTATTATCCTTTTTAGCTATTGCTCAACTTGATTTCCTAAACTTGTGTTAAGAATTTTTTTCTTCTGTGTTCAGGAGTGATATTGGTCTAAAGCTGTTTTGTCTTTTTCATGCAATATCTTTTGTGGTTTTGGTATCTTTTGGTATCTGGATACTGTTGGCCTTCTTGTTGTGAACTGTTTCTTCATACTTTATTTTCTGCAACAGTTTATAAAGAATTAGCAGTATATCTTTCTTAAAATGATAGGAATTTACCAATGAAGCCATCTGGGCCAGGAGTTTTCTCTGCAGGAAGGTTTTTAACTACAAATTCAATTTGTTTAATAAGTCGAGGGCTATTCAGGTTATTTTTTCTTGAGTAAGCTTTGGTAATTTATATCTTTCAAGGAATTTGTCCATGTCACCTAAGTTGAATTTTTTGGCACAAACTTGTTCACAATACTCCCTTGTTATCCTTTTAATATCTGTAGAATCTGATGATACCAACTGTCTCACTCCTGACATTATTTGTATCTTAGTTTTTCTTGATCAGTCAGAGGTTTGCCAGTTTTACTGAGCTCAAAAACCCAGCTTTTTGTTTCATTGATTTTTTCTTTGTTGTGTTGTTTTCAATTTCACTGATTTTCACTCTGATCTTTGTTTCTTTCATCTACTTGCTTTTGGTTTATTTTGCTCTTTATTTCTAAATTTCTTAATGTGGAAGCTGAGGTTATTGCTTTGAGACTTTTTTTGTCCCTTAACACAGGCACTTAGTGCTATAAGTTTCTCTCTTTAGTTGTTATCTCACAGATTTGACTTGTGTTTTCATTCCATTCAAAATATTTTGATTTTTCTTTTGATTTCTTCGTTGCATGGATTATTTAGAATAAATGGGTTACTGAGTTTCTGAATTTTGGAGGATTTTCCTGAGATAATTTTGTTGTCCGATTTAATTTTGGGGTTAGAGAAAATGCTGTTATGATTTTTACTGAGATTTGTGGTCTGGAATAATGGTCTGTCTTGGTAAATGTTTCACTGTACTTGAAAGAACTATATATACTGCCGTTGGGTGGAGTGGTGTACAAATATCGGTTAGGTCAAGTTAGCTGATAATGTTCAAATCTTCCATATCCTTGCTGATTT